AATTACACCTGTGCCTCTAGCTGGGGGGAGGAATTTCCTCCAGTGGGCACTATAACAAGATGCAGTGAATAACTGAGCTGAAACACAACTCAGTCTTTCAAAGAGATGACCAACCTGTCAGCCCTGGCGGTCACAGGAGTAGATATCTGGTGATATTGTGGAGGCCCCTTATTTGATGTCCTATTGGTCAATCAAAGCAGGACTTGTACTTTTAGTCCAACTTAACATTCTTTTCATTTTTTCACTATGGCATTTAGATACTTCAACCCAACCTCAAAGCCCTTCGCATTTTTTTTTTTTTTTTGGTCTTTTTGAGACAGGGTCTCCCTGTAGCCCCAGCTGTCCTGGAACGCACTATGTAGACCAGGCTGGCCTTGAACTCACAGAGATCCACCTGCCTCTGCCTCCTGAGTGCTGGGATTAAAGGCATGCCCCACCACCTTGGCTAAAGCCCTTTGCATTTTAAGAAGGACCTTAGGCTAACTCCAGGAGGCTAATCTGACCCCCATTTTATATAGATGCTATAGGAGTATACCGGGGAGTCTCAAATGAATTCAAAGCTCAAAACCAAATAGTTCTTATTTTGAGTCAGCCTTGTTCTTGTGGTTAATCGTTAATAAAAATGTAGATTGGGGTGCTAGAGAGATGGCTCAATGATTAAGAGCGCTGGCTGTTCTTGCAGAAGACCCAGGTTTAGTTCCCAGCAAACACATGATGACTAACAACTGTGGGTAACTCCAGTTCCAGGGGGTCTGACACCCTCTTCTGACTTCTGCGAGCATTGTACAACATGGGTGCACTTATATATACATGCAGGTAAAATGCTCATACACATAAAAATAAAAATAAATTTCAGAAAGAAAGGTTTCAGCCGGGTGTAGTGGTGCAGGCCTTTAATCCCAGCACTCAGGAGGCAAAGGCAGGTGGATCTCTGAGTTCAAGGCCAGCCTGGTCTACATAGTGAGTTCCAGGCCAGTCGGGGCTACAGGAAGACCCTGTTTCAAAAAGACCAAGAAACAAACAAAACAACCAAAAATATAGAATAGATCAACTATATTTATTACAACTAACAAAACTTAGTTAACTATACCTGGGACAACATCAAGGGAATGGCTGAACAACGGAGGCCTACCTGCAAAGTGGCTTGGGAAAGATTGACATGAGGCATGTTAGCTGAGAAAGCTGGAGTCTGTGTGACGTCTGGAGGACAGTATTGCATTTCCATCCATAAAAACACAGTGCAAGATGAGCCAGCAGAAAACTCAGGAATCCACAACCCCTTAATGGAACAATGGTTTGGCAAATGGAAGGGAATAACGACCTCAGCTTCAACATCCTTAATTATAATAGTTGAAGTCATGATTCGAATAGGATGTTGTATAATCTCTTGTGTTAGGGGCCTAGTCCAGAGCTGTATTACAGATACAGTTATTGCCAAACAACCTTCATTCCCAAATCCATAGCCTTTACCTTCTAGATACCCAGAAATAAGGTCAAGAGCCTCCTAATAGAATTTGAAAAAAATAATGTACAATAAAATAGGGCTGTCCTGAGGCAGGCAAGAGGCAGAATCCCCAAAGCAGACCTGGGATCCTGAGGAGGCTCACAGGGAGGTGGTGGCCTGTTTGCAGCCGGATAGTCACAAGTAAAACAATCTGTCTTAGCTCTACCTATGAGGAAACTCCGGCTTGGGGAGAACATCTTTGCCCTAGACCAAAGCCCCCATGGGACCAGATCCAACACTCTGACCCTCAGCCTCCATCTTCCCTTCCCATTAAGTGGGCACAGAGAGGTACTGGGCCTGGGTTGCTCAACCAACAAGTCTTGTGCCTCCTGGCTATATCAGACTACCTCTCCCAGGAAGCCTTGATCCTTAGCCCGAGTTTTAGGTTTCATCTGTGTTCAACTGGAATCTACAGTCCTTAGAGCCATGTCTAAGACACAGTAAAAAATAGATCCTGGACTCCTTACCCCAAAGTAGGAGCTGAACACAGTGTCAGGACAGGAAACATTGGGCTTTGGAGTCAGGTATGGGGGTTCCAACCTTGACCTACCTACTGGCTGGCTGTGTGACCTCCCAGAGGCGCAGCAGATACATCAGTAAAGTCACCTTTTACATACCTTCCCTGCTGAGTTCCTGCCAGGTTAAGATGAGGGATATGTGGCTCTCCTCACAGCTCCTAGTCCACAGCAAATATTCAGGAGTCACTGGCTAGGGTCAGTTGGATTTAACTTGGGATGCCCCTCAGGGAGGTGGAATCACTCAGTGATACCATAAAGTCAGCAAGCAGCCCTAGTGGTGGTGGGTCTGAAGAGTTAAATGAGCAGGTTGGGGAGGGTTTGGAGACTGTGAAAAGATGATTTAGAGGAAGAGCCATTTGAAGAGATAAGAAAGTCCACTCCAGGAGTGTGGAGGGAATTGTGAATCAAAGGAATTCTGAGGGGACAGGAGAGATGACTCAGCAGTAAAGAGTACTTGGTGCTCTTGCAGAGGACTTGGGTTCAGTTCCCAGGGGATCTGATGCCCTTTTCTGGCCTCCATAGGCACCACATGCAAGTGGTGCACTTGCATACATGCAGGCAAGACTCACACAAAAAATAATTTTTTGTTTTCTGAGACAGGGTCCCTGTAGCCCCAGCTGGCCTAGAACTCACTATGTAGACCAGGCTGGCCTCAATATCTCAGAGATCCACCTGCCTCTGTCTCCTGAGTGCTGGGATTAAAGGTGTGTGCCACCACACACAGTAAAAAAATACAAAAAAAAAAAAAAAAGGAGTTCTGAGACCAGGATGCAAGTGACAGAAATTCAAACAGGCTTATCCAGAGCAATGCAGTGGCTCATAGGGCAGTCAGGCTCTCCATTTAGGTCTTTAGGTATATGTCCATTTCATGACTCCAGCTCTTCAGTCTTAAGGGAGCCTCTCCCTGTGTGGTGACAAGACAGCCACTAGCAACTCTGAGCTAGTACTCCCACCATTTAGTGATTCAGAGGAAGACACTTGTTCCCTAGTAGTTCCAGAGAAGTTCTATAGTTGCCTGGCATCAAACACCCTGGCATCAAGAACCTGATTTTTTTTTTGGACACAGAGTCTCCTGTAGCCCCAGCTGGCCTGAAACTCACTATGGAGACCAGGCTAGCCTTGATCTAATAGAGATCTGCTTGCCTCTGCCTCCCAAGGCTGGGACTATAGGTATATGCTACCTATAGCCAGCAAGAACCAGGTCAACAATGCATGTGGTGCACTTACATTTGCACTCATTGGCCAGGTCTTGGGCACATGACTACCCCCGAGGCTGGAGGGGTTCAGCAGCAACTCGCCCCAGCCCTGTGTCCTGACATGGGTGGGTTGGATCCCCAAAGAACCATTACAATCAGAAGCACAGGAGGCCTACCCTACTAAGGGTTCTTTGGGCACTCCAGTGTCCAGAAGGGCCTGGGCCTGGGGTAGAAGTCAGAAACTAAGGACCCATCTCCAAGGAATGGGAGATAGGTGATGGAGGTAAACAGGCAGCAGCATGAGGGGAAAGGCCACTGGGAGACAAGCAGAGTTGAGAAATAGGCAGAGGCAATGAGCAATGAAGGACAGCCTAAAAGGGGTACCACCAGGGCCTAGAGCTCATGAAATGTCTCCAGAGGGTCAGTAGGGCAAGGGACCGGTTAGGGAATTCAGGGGCCACTTGGAGAAGGGCTGCAGTGCTGGCAATGCAGTACTGGGGACACTAAGGCAAGCAAGCAGGCAGGCAGGCAGGCAGATCCTCAGCCTTCTGGAAACCTCAAAACTACCTGTGGAGCTGGGTGAGGCTGGTCCCCAGGTCCAACTCCTACCGGAGGCATGCCGATGTGGAGAGGGGCTTAGGTGTCATTTGAGGGAGCATATTCACCTGGTTAGTAGCACCAAACCCTGGAATCCTGGGTCAGTCCTCTTGTCAGTTACCTACAGGTGGCCCACTGGCTGGCCCTATAGGCAGCGTGAGACAGGGCCTGGGCTAACAGTGGCCCTCAAAGCAGGGACCTGGCACAGTGTCCCCTGTGGGAACTAGAAGTCAAGGAGCCTGTCACTGGCCTGGCAGGGGACATTGTCTTCAACCTAGACCTGGTGCCTCCAGGCCTCAGCCTAGTGTTGCCCTAATGAAGTACAGGCCCCCCTCAATCCCCAAGGCTCTGCTTGGCTGTCCAGCATCTTTAACTTTTGCCAAGAGGGCAATGATAGGCTGAGTCCTGTCTGACCCCTCCCTCACCAGTCGGCATGGGCAAAGTAGAACCCAAACTCAACAGGATACCTGGCTCTGCCCTTTGCAGGGAGCAGCAGTCAAGTATGAAACTTCTAAGAGGCAAGTGACTTGGTCAGGTGGCTGACAGGGGCCTGCCTCCTGACTACACCGGATTCAGGAAAGGATGGTTCCGATACTGGTGGGCCTCCTGTCTCTCCAGTCTGCTCACCACCCTCAGCCACTGCTTCAAGGTCCCTTCCTGACGTGGGTTTTCAGCAAAGTGGGAAAAGTCCATCTACATCTTATTCAAGCCTGGCTCTGGTTCTCCCACCTGGGGTTTACGTACATAGCTAGCTACCATTCTGAAACCTGGTTTCCAGGCATTCCCCGTTTTGTAACTGTTCACTCATGTTAGATTCTCAGCATATGGGCAGCTATAACGGGTCACTGCAGCGTCCCGACTCTGAGGACCCATTCTTCCTGCAAGTGCTGTGTGCTCACTGGGCAGGCTCAGGGTACACTCTAACCCACCAGGTTGGACAGCTCTGGCAAGCACTCCTCTAGGGTCAAGCCGATCTCAAGAACCTCGACAACCTTTCCTCCCACCACGTGGCCAATGGGATTAACAGAGCCTGGACCGCCATCTCGCTTTCTGGCGCCCGAAGCAGCCCCCAGCCTCGCAGTGCCAATCTCGAGGGCTCTCCCTCTCCGAAGGCTGGAGGCCTAGAGGCCAACGACGCGGCCGAGAGACGGGCGCAGGCCGCCGTCCGCAAGACAACAACACCGATCAGGGTGGGAACCGTTTATTGCACCCCAGGAGGGCGGCCAGCTGAGGAAGGCGCGGCGCAACCAGAGCGCGGGGTGATCGGCGCCGGGCGCAGCCTGGCCATTGGCGCCGCGGGGCCGGTCACCATGGCGACAGCCGTTGCCAAGGGTGAGAGCCAATGGAGGCGTCGCCAGGGCCGTTTCAAAAACCTAAAGCAAACACCGCGCAGCATCGCTGGGGGAGGGGCAGGAAAGGGAGGGGGCCCGATCCGGGCCGGACCGTACAGAACCGGTGCACGGGGCTGGGACACAAAGTAGGGCGGTACCCATAGGCCGCGGGGCGTCACTTGCGGCCCTTGGGCACCTTAGGGACGCTAGGCTTGGCCGCCTTCTTCACCTTCTTCGCGCCGGGGGCCGCCGCCTTCTTGGCCCCACCACCTTTGGCCGGGTGCGCGCGCCGCTCGGGTTTGGTGGGCCCGGTTGGCCTCCTGTCCGCGCGCGCGCCCGCCGGCGCCTTCCGGGCCTTGGGTGTCGGGGCTGCGGGGCTGGTGGCCGCCGGGGCTCCGCGCCGATCCGTGCCGCCCTCCAGCTTCTTGCGATTGAGCTTGAAGGAGCCGTTGGCGCCGGTGCCCTTCACCTGCAGCAGCGTGTCGTTCTGCACCAGAGCCCGGATCGAGTACTTGAGGTAGGTGCGCCCGTTCTGCTGATCGAACCACGCCACCTTCCTGGCCTCGGCGTAGATGCGCGCCAGCGACGAGCCGCCGCGTTCGCCCAGCCGGCGGATGGTCTCCACGACCAGCTGGCTGTACTTGCCCGGCTGGTTCTTCTTGCGGCTCCTCCTCCGCTTGGGCTGCGCGGGTGGCACCGGGCCGCCCGCCTTCGCCGGCTTGCGGGCGGTCCCCTCGGCACTGGTCGGCGGCAGGGCCTCCTCTAGTTCCACGGACATGGTGGCTAGCGGGTTAGTGGCGGGCGGCGCGCGGAAGCCGGGGGGCCGCGCCGGGAAGAGGAAGGCGAGGGGCCGCGGCGGCGCCGGGGGGCTGG